GGTTTGAGTTGTACCCTTTGTCTCCAATTAGTCTAGTAGCCATATGCCCGTACATACAACACCATCGATCCGAATGATCTAGGTAAATCCAGTACTATATATTTATAACGACATATATTTATTTTGAATCAGATAAAGTTCAAGAAATTAATGAAATCTGTATAAATTTGGGCAGGGTTCTTGTAAATTTTGTATCTGTTGTAGTGATATTCTAGGTCTGAAGTATTAATAAATCATATATATAATTCTATTTAACGAAAAACGATTTTTTTATTTATAACACTTAAATAAGTTTTAGGTATTTTTTGTATGCTTGACTAGTCATTATTACGGTTTTACCCCTCGGGTTTGTTGAAATTTTTGATTTTCATGCCTAGACTTTATCTATTACGGTTCTTGTTATTATGGTTTGATTTCGTTGCCTTTTTTGTCCATATGGTTAACGAATAACGATTGTTAAACAAGTCTGTTAATTCAAGGACATTTTGGTCTTTTTAGAAACTTCTAATTTTCTGTTAACGTTGTATTATATGTTATATATTTTACCGTATATATTATATATTATATGTTAGGCGAAGTATCATGTGAGAAAGGAAGTTTATGGTGAAAAGCGTAATAAGAAATCTGAACCCTTGATCACTCTTAATCTCATGTCCGGGCATATATTGTGCTTTAGAATGAAATTTATCTGGTGCATCTTGGTGCATCTCATTAGTGTTGACATTCAATTATGATTGATCCGAAGGTGTAGATCTTTTCTTATGTTTTTCACCAAACTCAACTCTTATATGTTATACCTTATATATTATGCTCGTGTATGTTAATATATTATATATTACATCTTATATAATATACATATTATATTAGGATTGGATTCCGGTGAGAATGAGAGTTAAGATGAGAAACATAAGAAGAAATCTTCATTATTTGATGCACACTAGGATGATTTACTCTATACCTAAAATCTTTAGGACTAAAATTGTCAACCCACTAAACAAATTTCATTTTTTTTTATTAACTTGGATATCCAACCCGTTATGTGAACCAATTAATCTCAAAACGACTATCTGTTTTGCAGATATTCCGGAGTCATCGAATTTGAACCTTCGTGTCTACAAGGGGATTCTTATTCCTCATTGAATTTGAACCTGAAACCTCCTGGTACTTTTGACTTTTGGAACAAAACTCACATCAATCAGGCACCACCCTTGTGGTTCAAATTTCACTTTTTAACTACTTTTAGTATCAAATTCTTATTTCAGTCAAACTTTACACAAATACCTTACGCATTTTCATAAACCCTATTTCCAGATTTAATAAAAAAAGAAACAATTTTATCTGGATCACAGTCTTGACCTCCGATCGAGCTACGAACACGAGTAGGTAGGCGGCTGGGGGCGGCAGGGCTACGCCTTTTCAATTAATCTCCTGCCGCTCCGCTATTGGTGCGAGTTGCAAGATATCTTGATCTCGAGTCAAGCTGGAACGTCATCTGTCTTTTAAGTCAAGTCATTTTCTAAGACAACTCCTCTTCTTTCTACAATAATCCAAACTGCAACTTAACGAGTCTGCTCGGAACCAGTCGATTCCCTACACAAAATTTTGCTTACAAATTTACGTAAAGATTCCATTTATTTTTTAATTTGAAAATAAAAYAAGAATTCAATTTAAAAAATGGTTGAAAAATGAAATGGATAGGTTATTTTAGTCCATTTTCCCAAAATCTACCTACCTACAAATTGGGCTAMCGTACTATGGCGCAAGTTAGCACAAGCCAACTCCACTTCGGACAATATTCCGCAATTGATTGACGAACGTAGTCGCAATCATACATCTCTCRAATCGCTTCTCTCAATTTAATTCACTGACCGACGTCTTACACTCATCGTGATCAATCAACATTTGCTTGTAAAAATCTTCTCATTATGTTTAGCGTTGAATCACTAACGTTTTCCCCACCTATATCGTCGATAGTTGAAGGTAATTTGTTCGCGGTTTTTTTATTTGAAGTTTGGCCTTCTTTTTGTTGGTACTTGCTGTAAATTTCGTCAGTTGTATGTTTGTTTCTCGTTTTTGGGCAGAAATCTAGGGTTTATATGGTTAAATGATCAAAAATCGTAAGCTAATATTGTTAAAACTGTATTTGTTTCTAATTAATGTTTTGTTCTATGTTGTTCGTTCACAGTTCTGGTGCAAAAAAAATAATGAGGCCTGCAAATGAGAATGTASCATGCACGAAGAAACCGGTGAGTAGATGAGTAAAAATTTCCATGTTTGTTTTTCTTATGGCTGCCATGAATGGTTTTTTTGTTCACACGAGATATGGCGTACGGTTGTTAATGTAATGTGTTCTTTTGACGAAATAGTTATCACGATCTCATTTCTGGTTGTGTAGGAGGTTACTGTATAGGAATTACCGAATTAGGAAATTTATCTAACTTGAAGCTTCGAGGAAACTGGTGTTTCTGAACCTTGTGAACCCGGTAAGCGAATAATGAATTCATGGGTATTTGAATCCTAATGATCCAGGAAAAACCAGATATTTTATGGAAGAAAATGGGATTCTTTTAAATAAGTTTTGGGTTTGAMATGCTAGCGATTATAGGTGTGAGACAGAGAGGTTGAGTTTCTTATTTGTATTTTTTTTCAAATAAAGAAACAAGAAGATGAAGAATCCATGAAACAATTGGCTTTTACTTTGTATTTTTTTGGTATGTTTTTCTAGATTTATAGTTGACCTGGATTAGACATATATTAGCTGGTATATGGTAATGCAAGAGTCTGAGTTCAGACCTTGCCACCTTGATAGAGTCTTGAAATTAAGTGCTGGTGAAGTAGAATTACAGATGGATATGAGCAAAAATAACACAATAAAAGGGGAAAAAGAGGAAATCAGTATAGTTGGAACCAAATGAAAGCTAAAAATATTTATTTTTCTTTGTTTATGTTGGTGTAGAGATCAAGTACCGTCTCATTGTCAAGCATGCCTTCTTTCAATGATATGCAAGCTTTTGTAGTGTTCCCTGCTTGGAGACCTGCCTTGAAGCTTAAAATGCCATAACCAGAGGACTTCTGTCAACAAACCCTCTCATTGATTAGCATATACATACTCTCTCTCTCTAGAAAGAGAGATGCATACACTTACATAGGCTGATATGCATACTTTGATTCAACCTAACTTTTCGACGTTCACATCTTTTGATATTTGGAATGCTTTGATTTGCAGGCTATTGATTTGGTTTCAGCTGTCACRGAGTTGCATGCATTAAGTTCTCATGATCTTAGCATGCTAATCAGGAATGCTGAAAACGGTACCATTCAGTGGACCAAAAGCAATGGATCATCTTTCGAGGTTGGTAGATTTTACAATCAATCATTTATTTATTCATTGAAGTTTTCACCTCAGATATTGCTTGCTGATTGTCTCTTTGTCAATGTCATATACCTTGMTGTTTCAGATAAATGTGGAAGGTCTAGCAAGCTATCTTGCTTTACACCTTATAGCAAAACTTCTATCACCTAGACGAGATGAACATCATCTCAGATACTTGTTGGGTGGGCTACGATTATTGCATACTTTGTGTGATCTTGCACCTTCCCATTCAAAACTTGAGCAGGTTAGTTATTTCTTCTTTAACTTGTATATGTTATCTATCTTTCTTTCCCCTTGGGATTAACACACCTATCATTTATGAGTAAAAGAGGTAGTATTGTGATCACTGCACATCTGATTTTGAGTGACAGAAGTGTGCTCCTTCTTCCCCAAGAAAAAGGAGAGAAGAGAAGAAAGAATAATTAGGAAAAGGAAAGGGAAGACTCACAGAAGAAGCCTACAAATATTCTAAAATCATCAATTTGTTTCCCTGTTAAGGCTCTTCACATTCCTCTCGAGTTGGCATTCGATCAATTTAATGAAATGAGAGCAATTCTYTTAAACGGTAGAAAGTGGAAATGTTTTATGCATTCTTAAGTGTTGGTTTTATATTCGTGTTGTGATATCCGACATATCAAGAAAAGATAATGATTACAATTTACAAGAGCAACTAGCAACTTCTATAACAAAATAATGGCTGATTTACCTTTATCATTAACTATAAGCAGCTTCCACAACTTTGAATATGAAGGCATTAGCTAGGCTCGGTCCTTCAAAAATAACTTCTTTTTTCCCTGGTCTTTGAGGCCAAGGCTCTCGAGCACAATAACATCTTTCCATGTGATCTCATAAAGCAGAACCATGGATGCATAGCTTCTCTTTTTTCTTAAGTTCACTCCCGAATGCTTTTATTATGGAGTCTTTTGGTAAAATTATTTTCTGTTGAGTTAGATGATGCATGTTCTTACTCTCCTTGATATGGTTCCAATTGTCCTGCTTTTTAAGATGCTTCTTTACATGATCTTGTCTCCTTGTCTTGTATGTGTATGTTTTATTAATGGGGAAGTGGAAAGTTCCGTAATTGTTCTGTCATAAGTGCAACTTGTACTTTTATCTTCTGCATTCCAGCAACTCATTTTTCCTGCCGCAGATTTTGCATGATGATGTAAACGTATCAGAACAGATGCTTGATTTGATACTCTTCATGATTATTTTTCTTACTGGCCTTAGACAGGTTAATTCTATCCTTCATACATTTTACTTTGGCACATCATTTTCCTCTATTATGTAGCACTGAAACACAACTTTGGTGATCCAGAAAATTMTTCCTTCAAGTCCTATGGTCCTTTTGCACTCAGCCTTGTTGGCTAGCAGTTTGTATCTGTTACCAGCATGTATTTCTTCAAAGTGGCATGAGCTTACTCATGTTCTGCTTGCACACCCTAAGGTGACATCTCCTTTTGAACTCTTATCATCCACAAATTACTAGTCAATGATTTGTTTTTTCTCCTAAAATCCTTTTCATATTTTATTTCAGAATAGTTTTAGTTTCTGTGTATTGAAATGCTTAATTGATGGAATGTGGTTGGTGATACATATTTGGCAGGTTGATGTATTTACCAGTGTAGCTTTTCCTGCTCTCCGTACTGTTATATATTTTCTTCAAGTGAAGCTGTCAGCTCAACATACCGACACTCATGTGACGCCAAATGTTGATGAAGTCCGYCATCTCTGTGAGCACTTTGAGGCTTCTCTACAGTTTCTGCTATCACTTTGCCAACAAAAGTTGTTTCGCGAACGCCTAGTCATGAATAAGGTTTTACTCAATAATCCTTCTATGCATCTTCGAATTACTTACAATTGCCAATAATATTCCTTTTGTTGCAACAAGCTTGAGGCCCTGATTAAATGAAAGTTGTGTATCCTGATGCAACACCTCTCACGACAAAAAAAAGCATAATAAGGTGTCTCCACATGGAGCAAAGTTGGTTGGTTGGTGCCTTAGAGTTGTTCTCATGTTTCTATATTGCAAGTTACAGCTAAAGTTGCAATCTGTACCAGGTTCTTCTAAGATTAAGTCCTAATGGCCATTCAATCCAAATTAGAGGATGGCTTACAAGGAACCCCTTTTTCGTTTTATAGATTACTCTTTCAGGTAACAAGTAAAAAAGCAATTTGGTTTCAGAACCATCTTCAGGTTTGTGTAAGTTGTATCTTTCTATTTCYATGGAAAATCTGTCTACTAAGACTTGYACATGATGCTTCAATACCAGTCATTTTTCACTGWTCGTATATACTTCATGTTCTTCAGAAAAGTTCTACCGTCATTTTTCACTATTGTATATGCTTCATGTTCTTCCATGTCTAGAAGTTATTATTTTTGTCTTTTATATTTTTGAAGTATGTCATACCCACATTTACACTCACACCCAAGTTGCAATACTTGTTGTTCTCCAGGACCTATGTGAAGAAGGTGGTGCTCTTCTGTTGGTTCAGGACATAATGGAACTGCCACCATGTGACGACTCCAATCTTATGGCTGTGGTTTCTAGGCTAAAATCAAAAGTTTTATCTATTGTAAGTTCTGGTTGTAGACCATAATTTGTTGTAGACATTATATGAGGTGGTTCACTTCAAGGGTTTAAGCATATTTACTTGGTTAAAGGAATGGTTCCCTTAATAGCTACAACTCCTCTTTCTCCAGATGCTGCATCTTTGTGAAACTGAAGTAGAAAGGGGCTCTTTCTTGGATTTGGCTGCCAGCACAACTGGAGGCTTGGATTTAGCCAAGTCTATTGTATTCCAGGTTTCATTTCAAACCTTAGTGAAAGTTTAAGTTTATTTTATAACATTACCATAGCCAAACTTAGTGGGCACTCTGCTTATATTCCTACACTCATTCGTTGTGATTTGAAAAAGTTTTTACGTGATCTTTGGTCATTTATTACAACCTTCTTTATCATCCAGGCCTCCATTTATAAGGTTTTTGTAATGAAATTAACAGTAAAGGGTTCTAGCCGGAGAATAAAATGTTGATATGGGTGATAGGAAATAAGAAAGACAAAATCAGAACAGGTTAACAGAGATAATGAAAAATGAAAAACCTTCAACTGTTTTTCTTCATGCCATATCTACCATCTAGATTTCTGGCATTACATGCCAACTGTGTTACCTACAAACTAGGTGTTTATGCTGCAATTGCATACTGTAGGTCCTTGAAGTGCTAAAGATCATGTTTTGTGGAGATCCCAATGGTCCCTCTGCTTGCTCCTTCAAAGGCCATCCAAGGGGACTTTTGCAACTCAACGCAATGCGACTAACCGAAATATTCTCTGATGATTCTAATTTCCGATCTTACATAGTGTTGAACTTTGTAAGCTTTTGGAAAGTACATTTATTTTATTGTGATTTTGTAAGATTGATATGCTTGCTATCGTTTTGCCCCATGTCTCGACAACTGGAAATCATGATCTCAATTGGGTACTTATAATGTCCGAGAAAAACATATAAAACTATATTATACCATGATATATGGCTCTGTTTACTGCATGATTATAAAACATGTAAAACCATCTTAGCCTTTCATGCCTACTAGCTTTYCTACTTGCATGACATGTTTACTGAGTTTCTATGTTCCTTGTTTGTTTAACGTATTTCCTCTTGATATGTCTCTGATTGCATTTCATGTTTACCGTGCCCAATTCTTGTTTGCATTCACTCACATATGTAGCTTGTTTGCCTGTTTGTTTTAAATATTATGTACATCCTACCCCTTAAACCCCATGTCTGCTTGGGATATACTGGATTCATTTGATTTGGTTTATATATGAGTGTGTTTGATTATCAATTTTTAACTTATACTAATGCATGTGCATTTGTCGAATTTCTTTTGTTGCTCCATGCAGACAGAGGTTTTGACCGCAGTGTTTTTGCTACCACATGGAGAATTCTTGTCTAGTTGGTGTTCCTCTGCTCTTGAACCTTCTGAAGAGGATGTTACAATGGAATATGATTCCTTGTCAGCTGCTGGAAAGGCTTTGGGGCTGTTCTCAACATCACATGTTGTACAATCTGCTGTCACTACCCGTCGTGCTTCTCAGAGGCCCTATGCACGACAAAAAACATCTTTATTGGTCAAAATAGTAGCTAATCTCACCTGTTTCATTCCCGATATCTGTAAAGGTGAATAATTTTAGCCCATTGTTTGTCTCTGCAAAACYTCAAAATTTTTAATTGGTGTCGTATATGTATCTGTTACTTGTTTGTTTAATTATTGCTTACAGTTTTGGAGTTCGAGATTACCTATTCATATCTTTGACTAAAATRTCTGTTTTAAYCCACAGAGGAGGAGGGTCTCTTTGTTAATAAGTTTCTCCAGTGCTTGGAAAAGGAACTTCCACAGACTGGTGATGCTGAGAGAGCAGCTGCGGCCTGCCGAAACCTGCGTATCTATCGATTTCAATAGTTCCTTTTGTGGATAAAGAAACAATGCCTTCTCTTATATGACAAATTATTTATACGTTGCAGATTCGCTATTGCATCATGCAGAATCTTTGCGTGAATACCTTAATAAAGATGATGTGCAGCTTCTTAGGTAATTGCTTTCAAGTCCCCAAGTCACCTTTGGTATTCTTCATTCCTGCAAACTGAATTCTGAATGTCCCAACTAAACGAGTGTTTGGCTTTGTTTTTGTCCCAACTAAACCAGCACACACCCTTTTGTTTCRAGTATTTAAGCATTACTTGGATAATTGTGATTGCTATTTCACAAAATGTTACTTATTGTTGCTCATKTGTTCCCACATGACCAATGAAATTTGGAAGTTCAGGGATAAATATGAAAATATAGAGTAAATTACATTTTCATCCTTATGGTTTGTTAAAATTGCGATTTTTGTCCCTGTGGTTTAGAAATTACGGTTTTCATCCCCATGGTTTGTAATTTATTGCTATTTTCATTCTTGAACTAATTCTTACCTTTTTAAGTACAAGGGACCAAAATAGTAAAGAATTTTGAACCATAAGGACTGAAACAACAATAAATTATAAATCATAAGGACGAAAATAGCAATGATTTACACACTACAGGGATGAAAACCACAATATTTAAACCACAAGGACGAAAATGACAATCTTTAACAAACCACAAGGACCAAAAACATAATTTACTCGAAAATATATTTAATAGTGATTTGTTGTGATTAACAGTTCATGATAATAAACATTTTTGTGGTTTTTACAATTTGATAAAAAAAAACTCACTTATTTTGTGACAGGTATCTAAATGAGCTATTGAGTATGCATTAAAAATAATTAGTACAGATCAACTTGCAGCAAATGCTACAATGATTCTAATAAGAACACATTTAAAAACCTGAGGAATGCTCTGTCTATCTCCTCTGAACTATTTATTAGCACAAACTTTTTTTTTAATAAAAAATTGAACCTTGAAGGGTATGTCTGTATATTACAAACATACATTCATTTCTGTTTTCCTTGTCTTTGGTTATGTAGGTTGTTCATTAGGCAACTGGAAGCACGAATTACTCCTCAAGAATCCACTATTCACCGAGCCAAGGTAAAGTACTCATACTTTTTGTCTCTATTTATTATGAACTTCTTATGCTTGTCCATTTCCATCCAACTGGGATCACCATTTTACTGTTTCTTATCAATAATTTTGRTGAAATATTCATTCATTACCAACTAAAATTGACCGAATCCCACTTTAAGATATGGGATTTGCAATTTTATTATCCTAGTAAAGGTGACCAACACTGAATATCAGTGAACTTCAGCAGGTGGATAATGTCGGTGCATGCTAAATCAGGTGCATGTTTGCTTAGGCATATAAATGTCAATTCTGCAATGTGGACTGATTGAACCATGCTAAGACCCTTTCCAATGGCGTCATAAAATCTTACACCAAATTACTCCAATGGGCATGCCATTTCTCACACCAAATTTGGTGTGATGAGTAGTAACACACCAAATTTCTTGATCACACCAAATTTCTTGCACTCTATTTTCACTATTTTTCACGATTTGGTGTAACATTATTCATTTATAGAAATGGTGTAAGATTTGGTGAGATCAGTGGCGGAATACCATAGGGGAGTTTGCGGGCCATGGCCGTGCCGCTTTTTGACTCAAATACCATATATGTCCTTTCCCAGTTTCCCATTTCTTTAATTTTTCTCTTCCCATCTACTACTTWTTAATTTATTAATATCAATTGGTAAATAATATAAATAAAATAATTTTTAAGTTATGTATATAGTGTTATATTACTAATCTAAAGGTTTTCTTTTTAACAGTTTATAATAGTCCAAAAACATAATAAATTTGTATTACTATTTTTTCGGTTAACAGTTTGAAGGTTCTGAGTTTTAGTCTTATATTTACCAATCTTTTTCCTAAAACTTAATAGTAGATCATAGCAGGAAAAAGAAAACAACTTACGTGTGTATTGGAGGTGGCAATTTTGTACCAAACTAAACCAACCAACATGTGTACCAACCGTACTAATTAAATTGGTACAAACTTAATCGGTACCAATTGGTTGTTTCTACCATACCAAGTATGCACACTTGGTAGGTACAGACATTTAATTATATATTAGTTTTTGGAATTTTTATGTATTGAAAATATTAAACTTTGTAACTCAAATTATTTTGTTTGAGCGTCTGAATGCTAGCAAGTTTTATTCCTTGCAATTAAAAACCCTTAAAAATCACAAGGGTTACCTGGAAACTCAAAATGTCACCAAGAATTTGAACATAATGACAAATTTTTATATATGTAACTTGAAGTTGGTACAAAAMCAGTACCAACCAAAAACATTTGGTACCAGTATAGTTGGTACGAAATACGATTGGTTGATACATTGTATAAGATTTGACATACCAATCATAGTCGGTAGGTACAAGGTATTGGAGAAAAAAAKTTGGTACCATACCAAGTCCACTCCTAGTGCATATCATTTGGATCTCTGAATTTTTATAGTACTGCCTCCATTCCAAAATAATTCCCACCTTTCTATTTATGTTTGTCCTGAAATAAGTGTCCACTTTTAAAAKTAGATAACTAAATTCTCAAATTTACCCTTAATTAATGCACAAATATTTAAGAGTTATGAAGAGAGAGAAATTAAATAAGGGTAAATATGACATTTGGTTAACAAAAAGGTTTMATAAATGCATGCATAAAACTGTGTGCAATTTCAATTGTGGACACTTATTTTGGGAAGGAGGGAGTATTATATTTCGGCCCTTGGGACTACAGCAGTCATGTTCCGCCCCTGGTTGAGATGCCCTAGATCTTCATTTTCTTCASGATTCATGTTAAGCTATGGTTCACAACTTGATGCATGTTAAGATGGCAAGATGTGATCTTAAATCAGTTGTTGATTAACGAAGATAACTGCAACAATTGACTCATTGACACAAAATAAACAATTCTTTAGTTTTATTATAGATATGATTGTTATACTTGACTCTATTTTAGGAGTTTCAGAGTAGAGGTCAATGCTCATCATCTGCACCTCAAAGATTATCTCCAGAAGGATGTGGCAGAATTGACAACCAGGATGCGGCTGTGGACCAACTACACCAGTTAAATTTAAACGGTGAACTTCGGTCTAATGATGTGGTGAGAGAAGACCAGAGGACAGGCGTAGCTGAAAGTAGTGATAGAGATTTTCAGAACATTGAAACAAATGGATTGGATTCACCCACCATGCAGCTGAAGAACTCGATTGATAGAATGAACAACGTAGAAGGTATTCCTGAGGACCAAATTGTTCGAAGCGTGCAGAGTGAGGAGAAGCAGCTAAAGAAAAGGAAGCGCAACATAATGAACGATGTGCAAATAACCATGATTGAAAATGCATTGCGGAACGAGCCAGAAATGCAGCGAAAAGCTGCGTCTATACAATTTTGGGCTGATAAATTGAGTCTTCATGTATGTATGAAATGCATAATTCAGAATAAGTTGGAACTTTTTTTCCCTATACATTTTCTGGCAGTAATAATTCTTTACTGAGAAGTTTTGAAATCTTCTTTTGCAGGGTTCAGAAGTTACTTCTTCCCAGCTAAAGAATTGGTAAGAAAGCCTGTCCTTTTGTTCCAGAAAGATTGAATCTTGAAATTATGTATTCTCAAGTTTACTCCCTCCGTCTCAAAACAAGCGCCCGAAACTATTTAGTTTCCTCCCAAAATAAGTGCCTACTTTCCAATTCTACCCTCAATTATRAATGAAAAATTCATTACTCCCTCTATTATTAAGGGTAAAACTGATATTTAGTTCAARAGTATAATAATTACACATTTCTAAAAAAGGTACCTTTTTCATATTCTCTTACCGTAGTCAAGTATATGAAACGTATGGAATTTGGAATCATATATCCACATAACTATAAATTGAATTCGTATGGACCTTACTGCTTTAGCTATGATTTATGGATTTTCTTTTACATACAATCTTCACTTTCTTTTGAGCATTTGAAAGCATGGACAAAAATGCATTTTTTCCCACCAAGATAGGTGGGACAAAAATCAGGGAAATGAGATAAGATTGGTGTACTACTAAACTACCCATGTCAAATTAAAACCTTAAAATATTCCACAATTTCCCCTGCCCCCTACGGCCTATCTCACTCTCTCGCCCGTCCAGCCTTGTCGAGTCCCATCCAGTCTATTAGATACTTCTTTCAGATATTATTCGACTATAGGGATTTGCTACTTATTTGCTCATGAAGCAKATTCATTTGAAAAATATCATAACTATAATCAACAATAAAATGCTTTGGATTAACTGATGCATACTTGCTAGGATTTTTTCTAAATACTTTATTTTACCATGTTGCCAACAGGCTGAACAATCGTAAAGCGAAATTAGCACGTGCAGCTGCTAAGGATGTTCGTGTACCTTCTGCGGAGGACGATGCTTTTGCTGACAAACAAGGTGGCTCAGGAACGGACCCTGTCTCTGACTCACCTGAGAGTCCTGTTGATGAATTCTTTGACCCATCTCCATTTGCTCCCCAAGGGACCCACCAGAAAGACGTCGGGGGGACTGTCTTGAGAATATGTGGTAACGAAAACTCAGAAACTTCCCCTAGAAGTTCTTTTAGTCGTGAGCATGGACAATACGTTATGCTTACAGATGACCAAGGAGAAGAGATCGGCAAGGGAAATATACATCTAGCAAACGGCATATGGTTCGGAAGAAATTTGGAGGAATCGGGTTTGTGTGTTGTGGATGTTAATTATCTTAAAGTGGATATATTGACTAATCTTCCACACCCTTGTGATGCCACTGGTACCACCTTTGGTCAGGCTGAACAGATCCTTGGCAGAAAGAGGGTTCTGTGGGATTCCAGCAAACTTCTCCTGCTCCAGCCCCAGCTGCCTAGATGATTATTAAAGTTAGTTCCTGCCATTTCTCTCGTCTTTTTCTTGCAACCCCAATGTTTTTATACATATCTATGTTTTGCTGACTTCCCAAACCCTGCTTTTGAGTGGGATTTGTGTTTGCTTGGTTTGGTTTTTTGTTTTGCCGACTTCCCAGACCCTGCTTTGGAGTGGGATACTGGGTTTGCTTGGTTGGTTTTTTTGTTTTGCTGACTCCCCAGACCCTGCTTTGGAGTGRGATATACTAGGTTTGTTTAGTTTACTTTGATGTTTCGCTGACGTCCCAGACCTTCGCTTTTCGAGTTGGAGAAACTGGGTTTGGTCTAGTTTCATGTTTTGCTGACTTCTMAGACCCTGCTTTCGAGTGGGATACAAATTGGGTTTGTTTGATTTAGTTTATGTTTCCAGGATTTGCTTTTGACTGGGAYATACTATGTTTTTATTTGGTTTTATGACTGAGTTATATACTTTTCCAGACAAATCTTGGAGCTAATTGTTGAAGTTAGAAAACTGGAGTTTTGCAGCTGCTGTGAGCAATCCRTTCACATCGATATTTATGGCGTAACGGTAGATAACTAATCTAAGGTCTTGTTACAAATTAAGGTAAACTTCAATAGGGACTTGTACTTCTTTTAGGGTTTATATCRGTTCTAGTTTGATTTGGCATCTAAAAAGCATAGATGCCTTGGTATCTCTACCAAATGACATTGCTTTGTGAAGGGTAATTAATYATCAACTTAACGTGCATATGTTTAATGTTCCATTGATCCTACTTTTATGTTTCTTTATTGTTTTGCAAATTGGGGATCTTTCACGTTCTCTACCACTTGGATTAGAGGAAAAGTACGTACGTGTTCATCCTATCCTCCACATTTCTAAATGGGATTTATTTTTAAATCTTGTGAAATGAAATTTTGTTAGAACGTTTCACGAGTATGATCACCAAAGCACTAGATCCTATCAGAACTATGCAATTAAGCATGCTCGAATGAGGATGAGAATGATATTAGTATGAGTGACCACCTGAAAGGCCCTTAAGTGTCCTTGTGTTGCACCTCTTTCCTAGTCTCTTTAAAACCTTGATACACATTTCTTTAAACAAGAGTAAGGTAGACGAGTGAATGAATTATGAAGGRTTTAAAGATTTTAATTTAACATGAATAGTTTAATAATTTACCAATCTTGTCTCATCTTCTTGTTTCACCTATTTTGGTGGGACAAAAAAACATTGTTATCCCACTCGAGTTTTTTTTTGGGTGTCCCAAGAAATGTTWGGATTGATCTCAACAMATTGTGATTGCAAGAAATCCRCCMTGATAAACTCAATRACCACAATTRTTGTGTATGCCTAGAATCAAACTTATTYTAGGCAGATGGAAGTAGAGGAGGATAATTAGCTTCATGTTTCTTCTATTGGGAACATGAAAAAAAATTCATCTATAAAATCCCTCACTCTTACAACACTTCAAATACAAAAAACTCATTTCATCACTTAATGTTACAAGTAATACACAACACCATCCAACCATCTTCACATCGATTCCTCAAGCCTGAATGTACAAAAACACYCACAAAGAAATGGTCATTTGGTCATATCTAGGCTCTAGCACCAACCCAGAATAGCAAACTCYCCTATAAACACACCTATTGTTTGTATGCTACATATTTGGTGTGCCTTTGGGACTTCCTCTTCAATATTCATATTCAGCTATACTCTCTGCTAAAAGTGTATATATGAAATTGTGCAAAATACCCGAATCAAATATATGCAAGTGAGTTCCTGTCATGATTAGGCTGAGGTCGGCCCCTAGTAGGAGTCGGCGGTCTTTGATTATTAAGCTCCTACAAGACACATGAAACATCAATCAGTATCTTATTCACAAGCAATTGAAGYACACAAAAGAGCATATATGCATTTCGGATTTTTGGACTCACTTTCTAGACGAAAACGAAAAATTCGATATTTCTATATTGTCAAATTACTGTATTCTGTCTTGAGACTTGGGTGCTGTTTGGTTGGTTTTTTTTATCAAAGTCCTATATGGATAAAGCTGTATGTATATATTAATATGTCTGGTTGGATTGGAAAGGTTTTTGTTTGGGAAGATTTTTTCATAGAAGCGTGTCTTTTAATTGAGAGGGGCAGGTTTGGAAAAAAAACTTGGCTTTCTGCATAAAGTTTCTCCTTGGAAGCTTACTTTATGTTAATAAGTCACTACCAAACAGGCATGTATAGTTGACCGAATAAGTGGCGAGTCCCATTAAGCTCATTAAGCCGCTAACAAACAAGCCTTACTATATTGTCAAAATACTATATTCTTTAAGTAGACACAAAATAGCACGCACACACACACACACACACACACACACATATATATATATATATATATATATGTACTTACTGAAAGTGAGTCCAAGGCTTCGATATTTCTATTTCAGGAAATACTATAGCAATCACAAAGTTACAAGAATTTGTAATTATTACTGATAAAAGGACAATTGTGTCCATTAAAGAGAGGGAAATGTTCTCCATCTCATAATTAGAGGTAGAATAGAAAAGTACTTTTGAAAGGGGACACTTATTTGGAACAAACTAAAATAAACTAAAATAGTAATGTAGACACTTATTTTGGAACAGAAGGAGTACAAACTTACTTGTTACTTTCTTACAAATACATGCACATATACACGGTTATTTGCATAGGAGTCTAATCATGTGAGAACCACAAAAAGATTACAAACCCACGAGAACCAATCTCAATGTATTGTTTGAATTGCTTTTTTTTTCATCTAAGTGTAAAATTTAAGGTATTGTTTCACATATACTTGTTTCCTATGATTCACTGGTTCTCACGGGTCTCAACCTTTTTGATGTCTCATTTGATTATGCCACCCCACCCTACCACAAGATTATAAGACTCAAATCTAGAATTTTATAAATCAACATTACCTGCATCCAGGTGTCCTCTTGAACATGTTCTGGAGATGTTTCTGGTGAGTGAAGTGGAGGTGGCAGAGGATGAATCAATTTTGGAACAACTACCAATCCTCTGCCAACCACTAGTAAAGCTCCAGCATTGTTTGCAGTCCCTGAATGCAATTGCCACAATTAGACTAGAAATCACATCCAAAACATACCAAAAGAAAAGTCCACTTACACTTCCCTCTTTCCCAAGATAAGCATCCACATTTCTACTTATAGCTTGCCCCAAAACAAGTATCGATTTTCAAAAGCAAGTGTCTGCTTTCCAATTTTACCCTTAAATCTAAGATGGTGAAATTCATTACAGTCTCTATTATTAAGGGTAAAATTGTCATTTTGGTTAATTGAATACTGTACGCCTTTTTCTTTTCTGTCCCAGAAAAAATCTGTCAAATTTGAACAGTCGAGATGAACTTGATGACCGCTATGATACCCTTTTTCTCTTTAAGATATATGGAGTCGTTCTCTTCATTTGCATTTAATCACGTGAAATAACCGTCCAAAAAAGATATCTTTAGATTTACCCTCAATTTTATAGCGGAATCTTGTTTTGGGATGGAGGGAGTAACGTGTAACACCAAAACTTACCACAATAGTTGGTAGCCGAGAAAAGGGTAATCAACTGTCCCTGGGCAAATCTTTCGAACCCATCCATTACGCACTCGTGAGCTCTTATAATTAGCTGAAGTTTGTTTCTCTTACAGAAGTCCGTAACTCTGTCAGGCTGCAAAGTAGTTATATACATTATGGTATGGTTCTAAAAAAGTGTAAAGTCTTGAAGGTGAGGTTTTCACCGTTACCCTCTCGTCTCAAAATAAGTGTCCACTTTCCAACTCCATCCTTAACTATGAGATAGAGAAATTCATTACTCCCTCTATCATTATGGGAAAAATCGTCATTTAGTTAATTTAAAAGCATCTCCARCAAATTCYTCAAAATGGAGAAAATAGAGATTTTGGGCATGTTTTTTGCTCCAAAAACTTTCTCCAGGAGAAAGAGTGTAAAAATCTCCAAATTTGGAGAACACCCCAAAAATGATTACAATGAGAGAGAAATATTATTTAATATATTTCCACCAATAGGAAACTTTGGAGAAAAAAAATATTTAGAGAGAAAATAATATTTTATTAAATGAAAGGAATCTTTTAATAAGAGTAAATTACTATTTTCATCCCTGTGGTTTGTTAATAATTTTGATTTTCGTCCCTGTGGTTTAGAAATTATGATTTTTTGTCGCTATAATTTGCAATTGATTGCTATTTTCGTCCCTATACTAATTCCTACCTTTTAAGTACAAGGAAGCAAAACACAAGAATTGTAAACCACAAGACCTGAAACAAAAAAAAAATTGTAAACCATAAGGACGAAAATAGCAAAAAAATAACAAACTATAGTGATGAAAACCACAMGAACAAGAATCGCAATTTTTAACAAACCGCAGGGACTAAAAACGTGATTTACTTAGTAATATAATCAATGTTGTAATCTCCAAAACGGATAATCCGTTGGAGTTTGAATGTATTTTTGTTTTAGAGATTTTGAATGTTCCATTCTCCATTTTGGAGAATCTGTTTGAGATGCTCTAATAAAACTATGTCTTTTTCATTGTGGACATTTATTTTGGGACGGATTGAGTAGAAAACTGCATGCATACCCCGAAAGTGACGAGACCAGGTCCTCTAGCATTTGGYCTTAGACCTTCCACACTATCGTTTTCCGTGGGATCCGACCTGCAGAAATTAAACGACAAAAGGGTGTTTCAAGAAAGACTTGGAAGTAAACCCGAAAGCAGAAAGTGAACAAAAACTTGCCATAACAAATCCATCAAGACAAGAGATCCAGCATCCATGGTTATAGGTCTTTCTATTTTCTCTATCTGTTCAACTGAATGTATTGACCTCCCAATGCCACCATGCATGCAAATTATCTTTTTCTCGATAAGTGCTGCAAGTGGAAGATGGTTAAACAGTTGATTGAAGCGGGTCCACGCCCAGATTCCATCGTTCTCCCCCTATACATTATCCGGAAGCCATAAGAATCTAATAAAAACTTTCCCCAACAACACTCTTAAGGGGACGTTTGGTTTGATGGAATGGTTTTGAGAGATCTGGATTTCGTGGAAGGATTAAAAAAAAAAAACGCACCAAAGATTCCAAATCCTTCCACAAAATCCAAATCCCTCATAAACATTCTGTCAAACCAAATGCCCCCAAAATGAATTTTCACCAATACCATTCTTTCAATGCATTCAAGACGGAAACCAAAAAGTGCATTTATGTCAGCAGCCTCGTGATTCCCACGTATCAAATGAACATTCTCAGGATAATGAATCTGAAAAAGAAAACAGAAAAGGAAAAGCATGGTGAAYGAAGCCTCATAATTCGGGTTGTAAGTAGCTCTTAGGGCCTGTTTGTTAGCAGCTTAATGAGCTTAATGGGACTCGTAGCTTATTCGGTCAGCTATACATGACTGTTTAATAGTGGGTTAATGATATAGAAAATGGCTTATTCAGCAAGCTTCTARGGGGGAGCTTTATGCAAAAAGCCAAGTTTTTTATAAACCAGCCCCTCCCAATTAAAAAACATGCTCCTTCCATCTATGAAAAAACCTTCCCAATCTATACTGACAAATTAGTCACACAGACATCTTTATCCATATAGGACTTGAWGAAAAACCAACCAAACAGCCCCGTAGCCGACTTACCGTTAACCTAACTGTCTAGTTTATGACCTAAAAACACATGAAAATTGCAGAGAAACATCTAAATAGACAAAACAGCGCCCAATATGTCTATACGAGCTCAATTCATCATTTTGAKATAAAAAATGAACTTTTWCTTTCATTTTAACTAATTAAAAATAGGTTCACYCTTATAATATCTTGAAGGAATGAGAAGAAAAAGATCGAAATTGCATCGGAAAATGAGTGGACGMAAGTAATGGTTGTTCTCTTAATTGAATTTCAATTAAACTCGTCCCCAATCTTTCAAGCATACCTTTAGAGCAAGAAGCAATGTGATYGTCTCCAAGCTGTGTTGTCCTCGATCAACATAATCGCCAAGGAATAAATAGTCAATATAGCTGCGAGGCAAAAAAAAATCRATTTCACCACAAGGTTAAAACATATGTGATTTCTGTTCCTACTCCCTCCACCCCAAAATAAGTGTCCACAACTGAAATGACACAGTTTTAGGCCCTTATTTAATTTCTCTCTCTTCACAACTCTTAAATATTTGTGCATTAATTAAGGGTAAATTTGATWATTTACTTTTGAAAGTCGACATTTATTTTGGGAYGGAAGGGAGTATTTGATATTAGAAAACACACAATCGACAACTTGAAGCAACCAATGGGATCATGCGCTGATATACCACCCCCAAGATGACCTTGGGATCAGTGTAATGAAGGCGCTCCAGAGGGTACCGTCTACCCTTACATACTCCCTCTGCCCAAAATAATTGTCCATATTTCTATTTCAGTATTTACTAAAATGTGTCAACTTTCAAAATTCTACCCTTAATAATGAGATGGAGAAATTTATTACTCCCTCTATTACTAAGGGTCAATGATGTCATTTAGTTATAAGTCAATTACAATTCCATCCTTGTGGTTCATTAAATTTCTATTTCCGTCCCTGTGGTTTATAACTTGTGATTTTCGTCCTTATGGTTTGCAACTTGTTGCTATTTTCGTCCCTGGACTAATTCCTACCTTTAAAGTACAAGGGACCAAAACAGTAAAGAATTGTAAACCACAGGACCGAAACAACAATAAATTGTGAATCATAAGGATGAAAATAGTACTGAACCACAAACCATAGGGACAAAAACCATAATTCCTAAACCATAGGGACGAAGATTGTAATCTTTAACAAACCACAAAATCAAAAAACGTAATTTACTCTTTAGTTAATTAAAGTGTAATAGTTACAATCTCTCCCAAAATAATTGTCCACATTTTATATTAGTTTGTACGGAAATAAGCATCAACTTCGAGAAGTAGTACCTACTTTCAAATTCTACCTTTAATTATGAACAAAGAAATTCATTACTCCCTCCGTTATTAACGTTCAAAATTGTCATTTAGTTAATTAGAAAGTATAATAGTTACACTCCATCACAAAATAAGTGGTCATATTTCTATTTCAGTTCGTACCAAGTGTTAACTTTCAAAAGTAATTCTACCCTCAATTTTGAGATGGGTCATTACTCCCTCAATTACCAAGGGTTAAAATTAAAAACTGTAATAGTTACACATTTCTAAAATTGTGCGACTTTTTCATTGTGGACATTTATTTTGGGACAGACGGAGTAAAACATTTTCAATATATTCGGTAATTGTGATTTCAAACATACGTTATGTCTCCTGCAGTAGAAGGAAATCCGTATTCATCAAAAAGCCGCATCAAATCACCAAACTGTCCATGAAGATCGCCGAACACTTTAATCGGAGCTTTCAACTGAAGAACAGTTGGCTCGTGCAAAAAGATTTGCTCGGCAGCATAACAAAGTTCTCCGACTTCATAAGAATCGAGAAAAAACCTCCTGTTAGCAGGAGGCTTCCAGTTCCGAGGTCTAAGCAACGTAGATATAATCTGCAAAAAGAGGTATCATAATCTAGAGTTGCAATTTAGATTTCCTATAGTATTTCTCTACTATTTAGAAACTAGTTGTTTACGTGTGTGATACAACGGGATGTAAGACTATTTGGTTGATTTTCCATTAAGTCCTGTATGGATAAAGCTATCTGTGTGGATTAGTCTGTTTGTATAGATTAGGAAAAATTTTGTTTGGGAGGTTTTCTTCATAGATGGAATGAGCGTGTTCTTTAATTGGGATGGGAAGGGTTGGAAAAAACTTGGTTTTCTGCATAAAGCTCCCTCCTAAAAGCTTACTAGATAAGCCACTTTTTATATCATTAAGCTACTAACAAACAGTCATATATAGCTGACCGAATAAGTTGTGGGTCTCAGTAAGCTCATTAAGCTGCTAACAGATAAGCCCTTAATGGTCAATCAATAACTGAAAATTAATGCAAATTCTTATTAAAAAATAAAATCAAATATTTTTTATTTGAGTAAATTAGAAATTGGAAATGGTGGTTGAACATTTCTTCCTAATTTGAAGACCCGGCAAAAGAATTAGGAAAAAATATATCAATATCGGTGTCAAATTAAAAAATTTAAAAAAAATTCCTTGTCTGGTATAATTTTTTTAATTATAATTTAAATATTATTTATTTATAAATAAATAGGTAATTTATTTTAATTCCAATGATGGAGTATTTTTTTAATGAAGATAATGGAGTATTATGTTATGGATCAGTGATTATCCTTTATTTGAACGTTTTCTATCAGTTGGTTATTAGTTAACTTTATGGATCAGTGATTATCCTTTATTTGAACATATATAATCTTTCTTCTAAAAAAGTCTCATATAATATATAGAGAGAGGGAGGTTCAAACGAGAACTATAACTAAATAAAATAACACGAAAATGGCCAAATCACGTGCAAAATCACATGTGATTTTACACTAACGGTCCACGCAAGGGTGTACGGGCGACGTGGCCTGCGACCTCATATCGTGGCCGAAGTCACATGAATCACATATGATTTACACGTAATTTTAGTGTAAAATCACACGTGATCAGACCTTTTTCTTGTTCTCTAATTTAGTTATTGTTCTTGTATGAACCTGACTCTCTCTCCCCCTCTCTCTATATATATTTTTTTATGTTCCTATCTATTTAAATAGCTGCAATACCACAAAACGGGGTGGTATGCAGTAATTACTTGTAAACTTGAAATTTAAGAGATAATGCGTTACAAAGGAGTACATAATACTTAATAAGTTGGTTTTAAGACTTCTACTTAAATGCTTTATAATATAGTATAGAAAAGAAGAAAACTACACACATAACAAAACTAGTAATTTTACCTTCTTATGCAAGCCTTGAGGTGACTTTTGCCTCGTGAACTTTTTGGTTGGATACGATAGGTCATTTTGCGAAGGAATCATTCGTCTACTCTCGTTTTCGAATTGATCCAAGGATAACTGCCTAACCAAACCACCAAGGTTTCCCACGGTCTCTTTAGCAACTACAACCTGCACCATATAAACATCATGTTTCTTTATCTTAGAGAAGAACGGTCTCCAATACCCAAGGTTTTGAAAAGCGGAATCGGGCCTCAAGGCGTTTTTCATCAATGAGGCAAGGCGTAAGCCTCAAGCCGGTCTAAGGCGTATATATATATAACGGTATGCACATGTGCATACAAGTAATTGAAGTTGTTTCTTGGTTTTTATGCACGTCTGCATGTTACGCACATGTGCATACCAGACAAATTGCTTACAGATTACTTGTATGCACGTGTGCATACGGCCCAGATGAACAATTACCAGGGTCAGGGTGTTCCTCACTTTTTCATTTTTTTTGCGGTTTTCCACTGAACCTGACCCTATATATATCTACCATATACTCTTCAAAATGGGAAATTAGAGAAGTGGGAAAATATATATATATATATACACATACACCTGAATCTCTTCAAATTGGAAGACTGGTGAAGAAGTTGGAGATGACAAATGAAAACAAGGAGAAGATGAACAAGAAAATGGGTTTATTTCATAAAAAGTAAAATCAGTGAGTTAATTTCTAACCCCAGCTTCAACACCACCTCAGGTGCCTCAAGGCCCGCCTTAGTGGCTCGAGGCGTACGGCTCAACTAACCCATGAGAGGCACCGCCTCAGACTCGATTTTTTTAGTGCCTCAAGGCATATGCCTCTTAACACTTTTTAATACCATGCGAATACCCAAAATTTAAGGATGAATACATACAGCTCTAGGGTGAAGTCTAACATCTCCCTCCGTATCACTACCCTCTGAAGTGGTCTCTGCCACTTGCGAGTCATCTGAAACCGTTGTTACTTCGGGATTTGCCGCCTGTGCCTGTGCAGCTTGCCAGACGGCATTAGCAGCCTTAGCTTCAGCAGCCGAAGCTTCAGCCAGCCTCTCCATAGATTCTCTGTTCATACTGGAAAACATAGGAATGCATCTCAATAGTACAATTGAGAAATGCTTTCGACATACAATAAAATAAGGAAATTAGGTCAGTTTGGTCATTCATCCTTGCTTTTTCTGACTCACCCCCGGCTACGTGTCCTTTGGACCCTAGCCCCTCCCCCTGGCCTGCCACCAGTGGAAGCAAGATTCTCACTTTCTTTTTTGTCGGGAGAACTCATATTTTCTAGGGTTGTTTTTAAAAGGTTTATAATATTTATATATGGTAGATACTCACACACACTCGCCTTTGGTGAGGTTTAAACCCTTGACCTCCTAGGAAGTTGGGCTCTACCGGTAAACCAGGTACCGCTGGGCCAATGACCCTTTGGTAAGATACAGTAAGTAGTAGGACTAAAAGGAAAAACGGGCCTAACCTTAGGCCACCAGATGACGGACTTTCTGATCTACTGGCAGGAGACATAGGATCGAACGGGCTAAAATTGTTTCTCCTGGGACTCGTCATATTTGAGGAGCTTTCAGATGTTAACATAGGAGATTCGGTATCAGACTGAACAGGTGAATTCTCCGCAATAAGAAAATCATCTAACAACATATCTGCAACACATGAAACAAATAATAGTATGCAACAGAAGGATTTGAAATAGTGGTTATAGAGATGGTAAAGCGGTGGTATATCGGTCCAAAAATAGCGGTTCGTATAATAAATCATTAAATAGAATCATATATATGCATACATAAGTCAACATATTTTATGTATTCGATAAAATATATAAGAATAATGATGTCCAAATAAAAAGAATTAGAATAATGGCGCCCAAGTTCAAAAAAATAAATAATGGTGTCCTAATCCAAAAATATTTAGAGCATCTCCAACAAATTCTCTGGAAGTTCTCCAAAATGGAGAACCAAAGGTCAAAATCTCTAAAAGAAATAGCATTCAACTCCCACAGATTCTCTATTTTGGAGATTACACCATTAATTATATTATTAAAATATTTCATACATTTAGTTAAATATTATTTCTCACTCAAACATTTCATTTCAAGGTTCCCTATTGGTGGAATATAATAAAAAACCATTTCTCTCTCATGGTAATCATTTTTGGAGAGATCTCCAAATTTGGAGAAATTTACACTCTCTCTCCTACTTTCTCCATTCTAGAGAAAGCTTTGGAGAATCTATTGGAGCAAAAAATCGCCCAAAATTCCCATTTTCTCCATTTTGGAGAATTTGTTGGAGATGCTCTACGAATAATGAAGCCTTGATATTGCTGGACTAAAATAAAACCGAATTCAAGTCCTAAATAGCTCCGCTAATCACGGACCACTGTTTCAGACTGCTATTTGTCCCATGACCGCTAACTGCGATAGCACCGCTGTAGCAGTGTGATTAACAGCATAGATATTTGAGTAAACTTTAACAGATGAAGAGGTTTTTCTAGTTATTCATGATGCATGACACTGTGGGGCATTAATTACTTCTTACCTTCTCTTTAAGGTGTGTTTGGTATCCAGACAGGATAGAACAGAACAGAACAAGGCAAGATAGAACGGTTGTTCAACATTTGGTAAGACAGAACTTGACAGGACAGAATAGATAAAATGACCAATTTACCCGTAATGAGTTGATTATATATTTTATATATTTTGATTAATTTATTAAATTATAATAAAATAATTGTAATTATAACAAAATATATCATTAGAAAGTTTTCGTAAATACGATTAAAATCACACCAAAATAAAAAGTTTATATAGTTTCCAATTCTTAATTTTACAATTCCTTTTCTATAAATTACAAAAATTAATCAAAATATAGGAACCATATCAAAATAATATTTTGAGGACAGTAAAGTGAAATAAAATTTAAACAATGAATAAAATGTAAAGAGGAAGACGTATTCGATGTTTTAGAAGAGAATTAGGTTTTATTCCGAGGTTATATTGGTAAAATATAAGTTTGTTCCACCCATGGGGTCGGGGTGGAACATGCATGTTCCAGTATTCTGTCATGTTCCATCCTATGTACCAAATGCACCCTAAAAGTAAGGAATAACGCTTTCTTTCATGTTGCAACTTACATGATATGTTTATGTCGATGTTTCTTGGGAAAGGAAATTGTCTGAACAAAAGTTTAGAGGTAAAGCGTTACCTCCCCTTAGACCACCATAAACATACAAGCGAGTACCGATAGATGAAGCGGCATGCCGACAACGACGCATGAGCTCCAAAGAAGGATCTTCAGCTTGGCCCTTACTATTGCGCGTAGAAGTCACCATGCCATGTCTGTCTAACCAAACTCCGGCAGCAGTGTCCAACACTATAAAAATGGAACCATTTTGCAAAAGATTTACCTTTTATGTATCTCGTTGATTGCCACTGATATTAGGATAACCAAAATTATACGAATATTAACCTGCAACAGCTGCTTCACCATCGACCGTTCGTCCACCCCTAAGAACACCTCCTGTAACATGCAATCTAGCACCAATAAAGACCTGATAACCAACAAATGTTTTTGTAAGTAGGGCGTTTTGAAAATTATCATAGAGATATAAAAAAAGACCCGACGCATACAAATGTAACACAAAAACACTATGCACGCACACACATACTGTGATATACATGCACATTCATGGGTTAAGTATTTCTCTGAGGGTGCGTTTGGTACACTGGACAGGACAGAACGTAACATAATAGGGATCACTGTTCCATGTTTGGCAGGACTTTTATGTGGAACAGACAAGAACAGAGTGGAACACGCCCCCCTGACACAAGGTGGAACGAGGTGGAACAAACCAATATTTTACCGATATAAATCTCAAAATAAAACCTAATTTTCTTCTAAAACATCAAATACGTCTCCCTCTTTACATTTTATTCATTCTTTAAATGTTAGTTGTTGTATTTTATGTTCTTTAAACTTTCATTCACTTTCCTGTCCTCGAAATATAATTGTTATACGGTTTCTATATCTTGATTAATTTAAGTAATTTATTAAATATTAATAATAAAAAATAATATAGAAAAGGTATAAAATAAAAATTGGAAACTACATACACTTTTTATTTTGGTGTCATTTTGATCATCTTGACGAAAACTCTCTAATGATATAATTTGTTATAAAAAAAATACTTATTTTATTATAATTTAATAAATTACATTAATTAATCAAAATATATAAACAACTAATTAGGGGTAAACTGGTCATTTATCTGTTTTGTCTTGTCCAATTCTGTCTTTACCAAACGCTGAACGGTTGTTCCTGTGTTGTCCTATCTTGTTTGGATACCCTATGCACCCTGAAAGATATAAACCAATTTCCACAAGTGCTCAGTATGAAATTATTACTTACCGCTGCATGTTGGTACCTCGGTGACGGCGAAACACCAGGTGCAAGCGTCCATTCCCATTGACCATTCCTATGCATGAGCAATCCGTAAGCATCTGCTAAGGGCTGCAAATGCACATATACAAACAAATAATAGCTTGAGGAAAGTTATATAATTTAAATACAATATAATGTGCAAGGGAATGGATACACTTATGATAGTTTGAACAAGCTTTGACACTATTTAGTCCAAATTCCCTTGGGGCCTGTTTGTTAGCAGCTTAATGAGCTTAATGGGACTCGCAGCTTTTTCGGTCAGCTATACATGACTGTTTGGTAGTGGCTAAATGATATAGGAAGTAGCTTATGCAGTAAGCTTCTAGGGTCTAGGGAGAGCTTTATGAAGAAAGCCAAGTTTTCTTCAAACCTGCCCCTACTAACTAAAAACACGCTCCTTCCATTTATGAAAAACCCTCCAAACAAAAACCTTCTCAATCTATACAGATAGATTAATCCACACAGACAGTTTTATCCATATAGGACTTGATGAAAAACTAACCAAACAACTTAATGAGCTTAATGGGGTAGGTCAGATGAATACACCATATACAATCATAATCGTAGGGCATGTTTTTTAACAACTTAATGAGCTTAATGGGACTCGCAACTTATTTGGTCAGCAATACATAATTGTTTGGTAGTGGCTGAATGACATATAAAGTGGCTTATTCAGCAAGCTTTTAGGGGGAGCTTTTTGCAGAGAGCCAAGTTTTTTCCAAACCTACCCCTCCCAATTAAAAACATGCTCCTTCCATCTATGAATAACCCTTTTAAACAAAAATCTTCCAAACCTATACATATAAATTAATCCACACAGACAGCTTTACTCATACATGACTTAGTGGAAAACCAACCAAACAGCCCCTTGATCTCTCTATTGAACGTGCTATACTAATCCCTCCTTTTATTTACTTTCCCGTATACGCATAAAACCGTAAGCTTGTCTGAACTTGAAATAACTATCCTAAAGGCCATAAATTTGCTACATTGGTATACTCAACCATACAAGGTGCAATGTACAAGTAGCATGCAAGTAAGAATAGTCATATTATCCCGACTGAAAGCAAACAAAAGCTACTCCAAAACTAAAAATTAGAATGTCGCATACGTTTATAAGATCATATGGTTGTCTAGTAAGATTATGCTAATAAAATTAAGAAATGACAATAGGACATACCGTGCCTGAGACATCTCTTCCACCGCAAAGCAAAAACATACCATCTGAGCGAGCACTAGCAGTCGCATACCTACAAAGTGTAAGATATAACCAAGTGAAAAGGCATGCAATGTCCATGATGTAGATGCAGAACAGTTAGGAACGATTGATGACTGCCAAGAATAAGCTACTTTAGAATAAGCATACACAAAAATAGGAATTAGTATCCAAATATCCGATTACCTCGCTTCCAAATCATTTATGGGAATATTATTTGTATTTAATAATATACATACATACATACATACATACATGCATATATATAGGGTTAGGTTCAGGAGAAAAACCACAAAAAAATGAAAAACTGAGAAACACCCTGGTAAGCATTCAGCTGGACGGTATCCACATATACATACAAGTAATTTGCAAGCAATTTGTCCGATTTGCACATGTGCATAACATGCACACATGCATAATAACCAAGAAACAGCTACTTGTATGCACATGTGCATACCGTCCAAATGAACGGTTACCAGGTTGTTCCTTAGTTTTTCATTTTTTTGGAGATTTTCCCCAGAACCTCCCTCTATATATACATATATATATATATATATATATATCCAGATAGAAAATAGATACAAACATGGAAACCGTACATCCAATCCATTAAAAATCCACTTCCGATATATGCATTTACATATTTATTTATTTGTTATCAGTGCTTAAAAACAATAATTTGAACACTTCAAATCTATTTGACACTTGATTTGTAACTTGAAACATCATTTGTATCGATTTGCTTTTAGCCTTTTAGTTGTCAACTTCTAGTTTTTCATAATCATGTTTAACCTTGAAAGTTCAATTTTAGTAAGCTTTGGTTTTGAACAAAATAATTGGTTTGTTTTTAGTTATAATCTTCAATCAATAACAATTTGCAAATTTTGGTAAGTCTTTACATAGAAGAATCACAAATATCTTGTAGTCCAACTGAGCTACATACTAAAATACAAAACTTTACAAAATTTCAGTGCAACAACTAGATAAACGAAGACCAATAACTCATAAGACAAATGACCTTTAGAAGTTTCAATAGTGAACTCACAATTAAATTGCATACTTACATTCTAGCAGAAGGTTTATCACCTTCTGGATTTAGTCTCTGCCATGAATATGGTTTTTGAGCAGTATCCAAAGCCCAAGCATCTGAAAGCACTTTYTTTCCTAGAAAAAAAAAGGTATTACACATTTATCCATTATGGAAATATAGCATCTAATCTTGTTATCTGCATTAATGAAGGAAATCGTTATAATGATCGGCTGGTTGTCATTCTAGAGTCTGAAAATCAGAGAGATTCATGTCATGTACTTCAAACAGTGGCACAAACCCAAAAATGAGCCACCCTGTGCCATGAACACCATTTTCAGTTGGAATTATTTTTGAAAAGCAAGTATGCAAGTAAATGATATTCAAAAATGAATACTTTTAGAATGACGTAACAAATTTAAACAACAATATATAGCATTTGAAAATACACTACCACAAACACTTTAAGTAAATAGAAAGCACTTGAAATCCCATTGGAATCATTAACAGCAATAACAGCTTAATTAGCTTAATGGAATTCGCAGCTCATTCGGTCAGCTATACATGACCATTTGGTAGTGGCTTAATGTATAGAAAGTGGCTTATTCAGTAAGCTTGTAGGGGGGAGCTTTATGCAGATTGCAGAAAATCAAGTTCTTTCCAAACCTACCCATCCCAATTAAAAAACACGCTCCTTCGATCTATGAAAAAACCTTCTCAAACAAAAACCTCTCCAATCTATACAGACAGATTAATCCACATGAACAGCTTTACCATTAAGGACTTAATGAAAAACCAACCAAACAGCCCCTTAAGTCCACGTCTCTTGACAACTCTAATGTAATCCCAGAGCAAGTAGTCAATAATATAAACAGTACAAACCAACAGTATGACACTTAACAAGGAATTATAGGCTGAAGTAGAGCCTATAACTTCAGGCATAACACAATCGTATAAACAACAAAATGAAACAGCTAATACCAAAAATTAACAACTAAGATGAAACTATCAATAGTTTATTTTATTATTCAACAAGATAACACTTAACAGTGAAGAAGTTAAGCACAATGGGCTCTGGTTGTAGGTTAAGCTAGAGTCAAATGAAGTAAACACCAGCACGAGTTCTGCCAATTACACCAAGACCTACGACTTGAAGACTGTGAAGGGTTTATCTTTTTCCTTGTGTAGGTTAAGCTGATTAGCCATTTGGAGTCCTACACATTAGCATTATGAATATTGTATGACACATATCAACCTGAGTTGAATTCATAGTCGGGACACTAGTGGCTGGTTTTACACAATAGAGATCCTGCCCATTGGATTTAGATTCCGCTAATGCAGGCAGAGATGCGGATAGAAATAGATATATTAGTGTTTATTTGGATGGAAGTGCTGCCTTGAGACCGTACCAGCATCTTTGGAGTCCTTAAGTCAAGGTTTAAGGGAACTTAAGCTTAACCTACTTAACCAATTAGATGAGTTCATCCAGCATGGTCTTATAAACCAAAAATGCTTATGCTGCATGTACTTTAGGTAACTTCAGAAATGCAGCCATTCATGATCACCTTTTAGTTTTCAATGAATTGAAGGATTACATTTCCAATAACAAATGACAAACAGATCCAGAAACTCAAAAAGTGATACCATGGTCAAGCCAGATACCCACAATTTGTTTCAAGTGTGAAAAGGAAATAATCCCTTATATTGATTCAAGATAAATGCTCATTTACAACTACGAAAAATGGGAATGTGCAAAACCATTGCAACAGCATTACAGCAACAATATGCTATTTCATAAGCCATCTTTTTGGCTGATGAAGCATGGTTAGTACTATGCATCAGAAGTAATTGGTTATTAACTCCATTTCTGTTTTTTCATTTCTTTTTGCTATATTTAAGTAACAAGTCATTCTAGACTGTCATCTTCCAGGTGCATAGAGAACAAACAAAACAGAAAGCAATAAACTGACACTCACCATCATTGCCGCTAACAGCAACAAGGTATCGCTGGGCTACCAAATCCATGACATGGCCATAACGAGGGCCAGGACCCTGGCCTCGAACAACAACCCTGCACTCCAGAAACCACAAACCAAGCCAACATTTAAGAAAACAAATAAAGGCTTCAGAAGAGATGAATATAACTATATATATATATATATATATATATATATAGAGAGAGAGAGAGAGAGAGAGAGGAAGGTTCAGGGAAAAACCCCCAAAAAAGTGAAAAAAACTGAGGAAACACCTTGATAACCATCCATCTAGACGGTATGCACATGTGCATACAAGTAATTGAAGTTGTTTCTTGGTTTGTATGCACGTCTGAATGTTATGCACATGTGCATTCTGGACAAATTGCTTAAAAGTTACTTGTATGCATCAGGGTGTTCCTCAATGTTTCATTTTTTGGGTTCTTCCCTTGATATATATATGTTGGGTTCACGTGAGACCAGGCTGTTTTCGTTAGACCACATTTTTACACTTGAAACTTCACAGCAAAAACACTGTGAAGGTTTAAAAAAGTCGAACCTTCACAGCAAAAACACTGTGAAGGTTAAAAAAAGTCACCTTCACAGCATTTTGCTGTGAAGTTTCAAGTGTAAAAATGTGATCTCACGGGTCTCACGAAAACAGGCCGGTCTCACATGATCCCAAATATATATATATGTCCAATCTTTAACTGAACAAATTTACCTGTGCCATTTGTATTTGTCATTTGTCAAGTCAAGCACATAAAGATCATCTGTTGAATGCCCAGCAGGACCTATCCCCCCCTAGCGACACAGCACAAATTTATCAAAACTCAAAACCAAAACTCTGTATACATTTCGATTTCGTTGTAAATGTGTTCTTTAATCACCTGAAATACAACCATGGTTCCCACAGCAGCTGCTGCATGAGCAGCCCTAGGTGAAGGAGGCTCCCCAGCAGGCCGAATTCTGGATAATTCTCACAAATTAACAGCCGAATTCTAAGCAAAAAAAAAGGAATTGAAATATCGAATGCAAGAGTAAAGTATAATGGAAAGAACCTGGTCCATTTCCTAGTAAGAACATCGTATACATGAACAGAGTTCGTGACGCCATCTAACCCTAAAATTTCACGATTGAAAAGAGAAAAAGAATCGATCAATTTGCAGCTACTAAAACCAACTACAGATAGATAACGAACAAAGAATGGATAATTACGGATGCCGGGGGCAGCAGATGACGGACCACCTCCAATGGCGGTGGCGCCACCGAATAAAATGAGACGAGGTCCATGAGATTTCGTTTGTGCAACGGCGGTGAGAGTGTGACCGCAACGACGACCAGGACCGTCATCTTCTGTGTCCCAATAAGTCTCCAATGGATGATAGGTTGGAGCTGGTTGTAGCCACTGCTTAGAACCCATCAAAACCAAAAAAACCCAATTCTTACCGAAGAAGCCAATATCACTACTAAAGTAGCAACAATTATAAGCATCCAAAGTATCGCCTCAATTCGTAGTGATTGAAGTAATAATGAGAACAATGGTGAAAAGCGGTTGCATCAAAAATCACCTCCGTGCCACGGCGGTGAATGGTGGCCGTGGACTTGCGCCTCTACAGCGAAATTTTTGAATCTGAATACAATAAATACATCGATGAGAGCATAAGATTGGATGAAATTGATGATGGAAAACAGTTGTAAGTGAGATTGAATTGAGATTATTAGGTGGAATCGCACTGTTAGAGAGAGGATTTGGGGTGAAGATAGGAGACAAAAGAAGAGGGGGGGGGGGGGGGGGGGTAAAGGGAAGATCAATATTCTAAGAACTTGAATCTTTGATCGAGCGACGTCGTTTCTTTTTACAGATTTTATTTATTTAATTTTATTTATACAATTAAATACAAATTTAAATTTTTTAAATTAAAAATTAATAGAATTATTTGAGTTTAAATTACTTTTTAACAATATAAATTAATATATTAAATATCAGTGGTCTTATAAAATCTCTAACAAATTCCCTAAAAATGGTGATTTTGGGCAATTATTTTTCCCAGTAGTTTCCTCAAAATTTTCTCCAAAATACAGAAAGTATGAGAGATAATACAAGAGCATCTCCAACAGATTCTATAAAATAGAAAAAATAAAGTTTTTGCTTTTTATATTGCTCTGGCAAATTATCTATCTTGTTCTCTAAAATATTAAAACTTAGAAAAAAAACTCCAAATATATATAATTTTCTAAAACTCTCTAACGTTGAGAGAAAGAGATGTTCTTTTAATATTTCTCACCAATAAGATTTATTTATTAGTTTTTTTTAATGAATTGGGATTATAAAATTATAGGATATTTTAGGACAAATTACATGAAAAGGTAACTTACTTTAACTTGATTTTCTATTTTGGGTAATGTATTTTCATTTTGGTACATAAGACGTAAAGTTTTTAAACATTTAAGTACTCGGATTACCGGTTGAAACATTAATCATTTATCATGTCGATGTAGCGGGTGATGTGGTATCCAACTCGGTATTATTTGTTTACGTGGTTAGTGACATGGATTCTTTTAATCTAAAATTAGTCTTTTTTAATCTAAAATTAGTTTCAACCGGTTACACGGGTACTTAAATGTTTAAAATTTTACATCTTATGTACCAAAATGAAAGTTTTGAAAGTACATTACACAAAATAGAAAAGAAGTTAAAGTACGTTATTTTCATGAAATTTGCCCAGTATTTTATATAGTTTATGTTTGAATTTTTCTAAAATAAAGAATCTGTTAGAGTTGAATGTAAATTACTTTACAAATTTTGACGTGTGGTTGTTTGTTTTCGAGAAATTACAGAAAATTTGTTAGATACTCTGATATTCTCCAACTATGGAGAACTCTCAAAAAATGATTATCAAGAAGGAGAAGCAATTTTTGTTATATTCCCGCAGTAAGAACATTGAGGTTAAATGTTTATGAGATATAAGTAATATGTTATTACGTGTATACGGTTTTAGTAATGTAATATTCGAAATGAAGAATCTGTTGGATTTAGATGTGATTTTCTGTAAAGATTTTGACTTTTGATTTTCCATTTTAGAAAATACTTTGAGATGTTCTTACTCCAACATCGTTATTTTTGTATTTTGTTGATGGGTTAGAGATACTATTAATAACTAGAATGGTACTCGTGCAATGCAATGAGATACATCTCGATTTTAATGTTTTATTTTATTATATCTTCGTCAATGTTATAATATGATTTTATGGGTACTGAAAAAATGTAACTTTTTTTAGAAAATTTAAGGTTGTTTTAAATAAATTAGAAATAACATGTTGGATATGACTCACCAAATTTTCAATCAATAGGTTACCAATTATTAGACTTTCTAAAGTATAAAATTTTAATAATAAATAATTTAAAAATATTAATAATATCATAAGAAAATTTTAAAATACATTAAATTTGCATTGCAATTTTTATATATTTTTCCTAGTAATACATCATATTAAATCTTAATTTTTTTTTATTAATCTAGATATCCAACCCACTATGCAAGACGATTAATTCCAGGACGACCACCTGCTTTACGGGCAGTTCAGAGTCTCCGCATTTGAACCTCCATGGTTACATGGGGGTTTCACTGATTTGAACTTGAGATTTACATACACTTTTGACCTTTGAAGTCCAAGCTCAAATAAATCATACATCACCCTTGTGGTTTTAAATCTTAATATTTGACTGACGGTTTACGTAGAATAATTTAGATGTGTTTTAGTTAAAGTAGTTGTTATATTTGTGATGCATATCTCGACAGTGTTCATCTAATGACCATTGAAATATTCGGTCAAAGCTGTACATTCACAATATTCAAAGTTCCAATACACATAATATAATATATATTTATACTATATTATAAAGCATTTGATAAAAACTGTTAAAAACCATTTTTTATACATGAAGTACTGTATATTGATGCAAATTACTTAAAATTCAAGATTACAAGTAAATTATGCACAAGTACAACTTATTAAAGCTTCATGTTTGAATTCATATAACTAACTGCGGATATACATAATCAAATAAAGGATAAACATCTCATTTTAAAATATAATAAAATCTAAATCTATACTATATTATAAAACATTTGACAAAAACTCTTCAAAACCATTTTTTATGTATGAAGCACTGTATATTGATGCAAATGACTTAAAATTAAATATTACAAGTAAATTATGCATAAGTACAACTTATTAAAGCTCCATGTTTGAATTCGTGTAACTAACTGCGAATAAACATAATCAAATAGAGGATAAATATCTCATTTTAAAATATAAAAAAAACTAAAATACAATTAGGATAATTATCGAGTTATAACAAAATAATTAACTATTATCTTTATAAAAAAATTATATTACTAAACCAAATATGAATTACTTTGTTATTGAAATTAAATTAAAGTATAATTAAACATTTTGAATTAAAAAATTACACAAAAAATGAGGAATTTTAAATAGTTAATTTGATATTAATATCAATATAATTTTGTCAAATTTTTATGATATCTTCAAAATTATATTTTATTCAAAAATAGATACATCATCGTCTTTTCAAAATCACATAAGACCATATTATAACATCGATTGAGATAAAGAATAAAATGAAATATTAAAATCAAGATGTATCTCGCTGCATTGCGCTAGTACACTTCTAGTTATATTATAAAACATTTGATAAAAACTCTTAAAAAACCATTTTTGATGCATAAAGTACTGTTTGTTGATGCACATTACTTAAAATTAATATCACAAGTAAATTGTACGTATGTACAACTTATTAACAACAATAATTGAAATAAATAGTTCGTTATGACCAAACTTAATGTGATTGTGACATACAACAAATACGGTGTACTTGTTCTATCCTTTGACAAAATAATGCAACCATCATTTGAATTGTTCTTTTTTTTTGCTTCGCTCACTAACAGAAAAATATATAATAAAATAAATAAATAAACAAAAATCATGTCGAACATCAACACTTTTTTCATGAAATCAAACCTTCTAGAAACTATTATTATTGTGCATAAGAAAAGACTATTATATACAAGCATGGAAACGTAGTGGGAATGAGGCGGGTTTTGTAATCTCCGGCGCTGTTATCTGGCGGGTATGGGGGTTAACGTCTCGTCCCTGGTCAAACCCCATGAAGAATATCTGTTAGTTTGAGTCTACCGGGGATCCCGGCATCGACCCTAAGACCCGTTTTTAGCGGGGGAATCTCCGTCCCCGAGTCGAGTTCTCCACCGGGTCAARGCAAATCATCATCCTTAATCATGTTCGAGCAAAAAGTTGATTACCAACAATCTATATAAGTCYATATGAAACTTGCCTCAAAAAACACCGATATAAAGGGGTTTTATTTTGCCTCACTTAATGGCTGGMTGGCTAGCTAGCTAGCTGAAAGCTTGAAACTATTATATTGATGGGCTTTTTAGTTAACATAATGGTTTTTACTGGATTTCGATTTTGACCTCAGATTGAAAGGATTTGGAATCAGAAAGATTTATGATCTTTGATGTGTTTGGTTTCTAGGACTTGAAATAAAATTGAATTCCATTTTGATAAGTAATTTGTAAAAACAGATTAATAAAACAATTAAAATACCTTTTTATTAATTGATTATCACAATCTTATATTTGTGGGATTCCAATGAATTCATGAGATTTCAATTTCAGATTTTCTTTCAAAYCAAACATGAGATTTAAATGAAATTGAATTTCAAATTCCATTACGAAACTGACCCTTAATTATTTTTAACAAATTCATGCTAAGTATGTTGTTTACAAATTTGAATATAAATAATGGTCTTAGGAAAGTAGTAACAAACTACTCCTTTCGTATCGAAATAATTGTTCATATTTCTATTTTAATTTGTTTCAAAATAAATGTTTACTTTCAAAAATAAATATTAATTTCMTGTTCTACCCTTAATTATAAAAATGAATTTCTTTTACCTCTATTATGAAAGGTAAAATTGTTTTTTAACTAATTAAAAAAATATAATAATTACATAACCTTAAAACTGTGTCATTTTCATTATGAACATTTATTTTTGGACGGCGGGAATAATTCATTAGAATTATGGGTTGTTTGACAGTTGCTGAATKGTTTGGTACAAAATGGTTAAGTGATTAGAATGATTAAGATGTTTTCATGATATAATGCAAAATGAAATATAATTGTTTGATAATTATTTACAATGAAATTAGGACGCCGAATGATTAAAGGAGACCCATGATACAAAATCACTTTGACAGTTTTAGAACTATTAAAAAACAAAAAAAAAATTCCACTTTTTGACGATTCAAATACGACCTCTTAATGAAACTATTAAGGGGTAAACAAACAACCTTTTAGTCTTAATAGATTCCTTTTAAGGTCCAAATAATAATATACGGAAGTCGTATTCTATTTGTAACATCCCAAATTCCCAATTTCAGTATTATAAAAATAACAATAATAATGAAACAAGTAACTTACAACTAATTACCAAATAGCCTTTGGCCTAACGGTATCATGGTCCTTGGCCTCATAGGAGACCAGAGGTTAAAATCTCAGCAAATGTGAAGAGGGTGTGTGAGTTTATTTGTTGCATTTGCCGTATATAAATATTATATATTTCAAAAAAAAAAACTTACAACTAATTCAGAGATATTGTTTCGAGATGTTGCAGGTTACTTCTTCAACATTATTTTTATTCAGTTTGATTCACCAGATGACAATGGAGTTGCTCATGCGTTAGCACATACAACTCCGTTATCTTCTTGTCTTATCTCGGACTTTGATAYACCGAGTTTTCCAACCTGTTCTATGAACAATGTATGCCTTTTAAATGCTCGTTAATGTTAAGATTTAGTTTGTTTTTTCAGAAACAAAAAGTAACTTACAACTACTTTATAAGTTACTACTAGCAGACAATAAGTAACTTCTAAAGTAGTTTTCACCTTTCTAAAAATARCAAGTAACCTTCTAGACTAACTTGCATACGCCTCGACTAATCCAATGGGACCTTGGAGAGCAACCATAAAAATACCCAACAGTTGTGGAGGGACTCGAAACACTTTCTAAAGAAAGAGTTACCAACACCATTACTGTAACATCCTGGCCAACCGTACCAAATATTGTCCGTTTTGTCAACACACCTAAACTCGGGATTTTAAAACGCATCAGACAGAGGAGATATCAAGTCCGTTATAAGGCAACCTCCATTCCCATCCCCGRMCGATATGGGATCATACAATTTACAAATGACAGGTAGACACGATCGAGTCCGGAGATATGGTTAAATAGAGAAACAAGGTAAAAAATATTAGTAGAAGTTAAATGTATAGTTAAGAGCAGGGATTGGGAAACCTTGAATGAACCTCATCTATGTCTGCAATGATTTGTGGGCTAAGCTTGATATCACATGCACTAACAACTTGTTCAAGTTGCCATAATTTTGTAGCTCCAAAAATGGTGCTGCTCACAAGAGGGTGTCTCAAAACAAAGCCTGCCCACAATTGCCACAAACAAGTAAACAAACCAAAACAATCAAGAAAGGTGCATATGGTTATATATATATATATATATATATGGAGTAATATAATATATATATATATATATAGAGAGAGAGAGAGAGAGAGAGAGAGAGGGAGAGGGGGAGAGGGGGGAGGTTCAAAGGAGAACAATAACTAAAGAAGAGAACATGAAAACGGCCAAATTACGTGCAAAATCMCATGTRATTTTACACTAATAGTCAATTTTACCTCATATGGCAGCATCCAAAGTCGCATGAATCATATGTGATTTTGAACGTAATTCTAGTGTAAAATCACTAAAATGTGATTCGACCATTTTCTTATTCTCTTGTTTGGTCACTGTTCTCGTATGAATCTCTCTCTCTCTCTCTCTCTCTCTCTCTCTCTCTCTCTCCATATACATGTGTGTGTGTGACTTGTACAACCATAAAACCTTTGATTGGTTAGCTATAAGCTCCATAAGTTTTTTTCCCATACCAAATAAGACTAAGGGGCTGTTTACCAAACGCTTATTCGGGCAAGTGAACACCAAGTCACATTACCTTACCGGATAAATATGGTAAGGATCAAGAATCTTAYTCGTTAAGAGTGAGACAAAGACCAAGAGTCTTACCCGGTAAGTGAGAGCGACGACTCTTACCACAGTAARCGCTTACCGGGTAAATTGTTGCATACGATACTGTTTTGGTTGACTAAAATCTTATCCGATAAGTAAATGATAGTGTTAGATTTTACCGGTAAACGCTTACCAGGTAAGTGTTTGGTAAACAGCCCCTAAGTTTATCAGCTAACAGCTAGTTTGCCAAGACAACAATATAAAGGAAGTCCATTTTTGAATTTCAGTGAAAACAAGTTTAAGGTAGAAGCACAATTTGCATAGTAGTTTCTTCTCATATCATATAAATAGAACCGAATAAATGAAGATCCTAAATGAACAACACAAATTAGTTCCTCTTTTTCAGATTTTTCAAGCATTGTTATTTTTCTGAAATTATTTCCGCTTAAATACCAAAGCAACAATATACGGAAGGCGAAAGGTGTAGAGAATACCAATKGCTAGAGATACCGGATGGATGCCATAACGTTCTGCAATGGAAACGTATGCCTGCAGAAATTTTGTTGGATCAGAAAATGTAGTGAGAACAGATTCATGATTGTCTAAGGAACAATAAGGGGGCGTTTGGTTTGACGGAATGTTTTTGAAAGATCATGATTTCGTGGAAGGATTTGGAATCTTTGGTGTATACAGTTTGTAGGATTTGGAACGGAACTAAATTATTTGAGGTGGGTTAAAGGGCACAAGTGAGGGGTCTTGACTTATTCCATATAGCCATTTTGGCTTGATGGCTTAACAATMAAGCCGTAAAGAAACATTCCTGTATGAAGGAGCGAATAAGCCGTCCATACCACTAAGCTCATCAAGCTACAAGGAAACAGCCCCTTAAGTATAGAAAGCAAAGGTACGTATTGGAAAAATATTACAAACTATCTATCTTAAGGCTTTGATATCATATCCTAAAGAACCCGATCTCATGATGTTAGGAAGTACCAAAGATTAAATAAAGCATGAACAGATTAATTTGAATTTAACAAGGTAAGAGATAGGATGTACTTTAGTAGCTTCTCTAACATTGGTGTTAGATAGGTTGTATCTCGATTCCCCTTCTGAATACCTGCCTTTGAAAAGATTCAATCGAGCATCATCTGCACCACCATCAGGTAAGAGATACTTTCCAGAAAGCAGACCCATTGCCAGAGGGCTATAAGCCAATAAGCTAACCCTAAAAGTCATTATATAAAAAAAGAGCATAAAACCACCATCGGCAACAAAGATGGGTAGAAATCAGAGTCTGTTTGTTAGCAGCTTAATGGGACTCGCAACTTATTCGGTCAGCTATACATGACTGTTTGGTAGTGGTTTCATGATATAGAAAGTGGCCTATTTAGTAAAGCTTCTAGGAGGGAGTTTTATGCAAAAAGCCAAGTTTTTTCCCAAACCTGCCCTTCCCCATTAAAAAACATGCTCATTTCATCTATGAAAAAAAACCCCAAACAAAAATCTTCCTAATCTATTTGGACAGATTAATCCACAATGAYGACTCTATCCATATAGGACTTTAATGGAAAACCGACCAAACAGCCCCTGAGTCTTTAGTAGGCTTCGGATGATGAAGTATAAAAGATTTGAAGTTAAAGTAACCACTGCGAACATACCTCTCCAAATGACAGCACTCTGCCAATCCAGAATCAAAATTTCGGCAGAGCAAGTTGTATGAGTTCTACAAGATCGATAAAAGATTATGCAGATAGTCTGATCAGTCACGCACTAGTGCATTACAGTTTGAAACCAAAATCAAGTGATACAGCACCTGAATAGATGCTATCCTTGGATAGGTGGAGTTATTTTCCGCAGCTTGTAGGAACTTCATGACCCCATATGGTGTTTCATTACTGACACCAATGAATCTGATCTACATAAACTTTCACCTCCTCTTGTTATGAAATGTTGATTTAGCATATGAACGAATACTAAGAGCACCTCCAACAGTTTCTCCATAATTTCTCTAAAACGGAGAAGTAAAAACTCCCAAAAAAATTTGCATTCRACTCCAATAGTTTCTCCATTTTGGAGATTCCAATATTAATCATATTACTAAAATATTCAATAATGATAAGAAAAAATCTCTCTCTCTCTCTCTCTGTCTCTCCTTCCATCTAATTTTATTGGTAGGTTGGGGACTTTTTTCTTCGGTAGAACAAAAACCCATTTAATTTTGGAGGATTGTGCAGATTTGTAGAAACTTTACCTCTCTCTCATACTTTCTCTATTTTGGAGGAAGCTATTGGAGCAAAGAAAGAGCCTAAAACCTCCAAAATCTTTTTTTCCCTCCATTTTTTTTGAAATATACATAATATTTTTATACGGCAAATACAACAAATAAACTCACACACCCTTCTCACCTTTGGTGAGGTTTGAAYCCCTGACCTCCTAGGAGGTCAAAGACTATGATACCTCTAGGGCAAAGGCCCTTTGGTTTTTTTCCCTCCATTTTGGAGGAGCTGAGGAGATGCTCTAAGGGTGACTTGATGATATGATTACCAACCTTACCAGCATCAACCGCTCTTCCTAGAGCATCAAGTTGTTCATCGAAACTAACAGGACTATATTGTCTGACAGGATCATAATCAGTTTCTCCAAACATTGGAACATAGCTGCAAAAAGATCCAGGAAACAATTTGGAGGAAGAAAGCATTAGGAACAAATGGAGACTATTCTATATGYATGTATATGGAACTTGATATAAATGAAGTTAAATTAAAGGGACAATATACAAACCGATCAGGCCAGTGGACATGGTAAAGATCAATATAATCAGTCTGTACTCGCAGCAAACTGCATCAGCTCTCCAATATACAAAAAGCACCCATGAATTGGTTACATCAATTGAAAAGTTACCAAGGCATGTATATGCACCTCATGCTATTAGTGAACAAAAGTTTACTACAATTAAGGTAATCAAGATAGAATGCAACAACTTCAATTTTGCATAAAATCATAAACAAGCAACACCAACCAGATGTTTTCCTCACAATATGAGAATTGTCCAAGTGATAAGAGGTAATACTTKAAAAGTTATCTTGGCCAAGTATGCAATCAACTAAAAATCCCCTACAAGAAAACTAGAATAAAAACAAAAACAGAAAAAAGAACTGAGAACTATGTATCACAATCATATTTGAGTATAGAATTTTAAAAGCATGCTTAGATGTCCTATGTAGAATCAATCTCTCATGAGTTGTCAAGAACAGCGGGAAAAACTCATTTGACAATGTAAAAGCTATGTGACCAAACAAACGCACCATTAACAGGTAAATCATAAATGCAAGCACTGTACACAAGTATTTTTTTTAAAAATAAGTATAGTAACAGATTATCCACTAATGTGATCTAACCTATTGTCAATAGCCTCCTTTATATTCCTACTATCCAAACTTGTTGGGCCCCCTCGAATCCAAGTCATCCGCCCAGAAGGGCCAGTAACCTGCAAAAATCACAAAGAACCAAAGCAATTTATTTTCAAATCAGCAAGTAGTTTCTATTGGAATTCTATATCGGCTAGACTTAGACCATTTCTCCTCCCTGTATAGTTGAAACCTTCTCTCTCCTTGCTCTTTTGGAGGGCAATCCAATGGAGTTCCAATTATTCCCACATGGTATCAAAGCCAAGGTAGGGCTCTCAGACAATTTATGTCAGCCCGGACAATCTGTGTCCGAATAGCCTCCATTGGAGGGGRCGGCTACTTGGACCATTTCTACTCCATATAGAGTTGGAAGCTTTCTTCTCTCTTTTCAAAGATTAATCTGTTTCACCAAGCACCCTCTTCCTATACCTAGTTGAGCCCTTAAAAACCTTTTGTAAATTTCATACAGAAAATTAAACAGTTTCCTACAAAACTTATTCATAGGCAGACAAGTATCACATTTCTTTATACGACACAAATTAGTTCACTAAACCCTAACAGCAATGAACACATTGTATATCGAATTTGAAACCAAACAATCACTATATTTATAACGTATGTAAGATCCCACATTGGTTAGGGGGGAGACAAAGGTTAAGAGGCTTGATACCTCCTCTA